CCCCTCCTTACCGCGCCGCCTCCTTTCAGGCCTGGCTGAACGAGAAGTTCGCTCCAGAGCTGCTGGAGAGCAAACCCGAGATCGTGGAGTGCGTCGTGGAGCAGCTGGACCACATGGTAGGTTCTGCTGGCCGAGCGGGTGGCGCGGCCGGAACGGCCTGGGCCCCTCCGGGATCGCCAGGTTTGTCCGCGCCTCCGGCCCTGTGACGAGGCTGTTCTGGGCCCTTTCTGTGAGCTCGTCTTGGAGGGAGGACTGGGAGGTACAAGGCGATAGCGTGGTTTGTGTCACCCAAAGCAGCTGCAGTCTGTTTTTTGTGGGCCCTATGTGCAAAACCTGGCTTCCTCTCTGTTTCTTGTTTCACATTTCAACCGTTTCATTTCTTTTTGCCTTTCCTTGTAGGAGGCAAACCTGAAACGGGCCAAGAAAGGAGACTTGAAGGTCAGTGTTCACCACATGGAGATTGAAAGGATCCGTTACGTGCTCAGCAGCTACTTGCGATGTAGGCTTGTGAAGGTAATGCTTGCTTGTGCTGCCCAGGGGATGAACAAGGATGGCTTCAGGTGTGGTTTTTACCCATACAAGGCCTTCTGCTTCAGCAAGGCACTCAGTTAAAGCGTGGTCTCCCTCTCTGTCCTTCAAAGTGCATCCTAAAAAAAGGAATTTGTTCCTTGGACACACTTTTCTGTTGTTATGAAGGAGGACCAGAGCGCTGGTATGAGTGTTGTGTTACCTCATCTAAGCCCGGGATGGCGCAAATTAATGCTTGCATGTTCTAGCTGAGTCCTGCCACATACACAAGCAGTTGTGCAGCTTGGAGACCTCAGCTGCTGTTAGATCAGGAAGAGGTATTTGGGCAGGCCGGTGGCAGCTGCATACAGCTGTACAGCAGTGGACCATTGCTTGCAAGGGAAGCCTCTGGGATGGGGGAGATTTTAGACACTGAACTACTGGGAGATGTCTGATACAGTCTTGGGGATTTTCTTCCAATACCAGATAGAGAAGTTTTTTCCCCATGTCCTGGAGAAGGAGAAATCTCGAGCTGAAGGGGAGCCTTCCATTCTATCACCAGAGGAGTTTGCTTTTGCTAAAGAGTGAGTATGTTTTGGTTGCATCTCTCCTGTTTTCTAGGTTATCAAATTCACCTGTATGTTGTGCTGAATGGTTCCTCAGACTGTTGGCCTTAGACAGGTTTGCAGTAAGAATCATGGGTTTTACCAGGAGGTTTCCTTATGGACAAGGAAAATAATGAAATAAAATGAGTTTGATGACCCTGAGCCAGTTACCAGGGCAAGACCTTAGGCTTGTCTGTGGCCATTGCTTGTGGAACGGGGAGATGTCACTAGCTGCCATTTTGAGTCAATGCTCTCCCTGCAGACCTGTCATTTGATTAAACCATTAAATGCTCCAATGGTTTGTTTCAGGTACATGGCAAACACGGAGACGTATCTGAAAAACACGGCCCTAAAACACATGCCACCCAACCTGCAGAAAGTGTCTCTCCTAAAATCGGGTGAGTACATCCAGGCTCCAGGGTAATCTGAAAATTATAGCCAGCAGGGGTGTGGTGAAAGCTACGGGGAGCGTGAGACGTTAGGGGTGGGTCCTGCTGCTGGCACTCAGCAGAGGTGAAGACAGCGCGATGTCAGCGTCGTAGCGCTGCTCTGCTGTGCCTTACGTGGTTTGGTGCTGCTGTTTGAGGATCGTGCTGTCAAATCGAGTCTTACTCTGAGGCGGTGCACAGCGCCTCTGGTCAGGAGTGTCTGGCGTTGCTGTTACTGGCTGTGAGCTTGCTGCCCCTCGTACGCCTCTGTTAACTTGCTAAGTGCTGACTTGCGCTCTGAATCCATTGTCTGCAGTTCCAAAGCCCAACTTGGACTCCTTTGTGTTTCTGAGGGTGTTGGAGCGGCAGGAGAACATCCTGGTTGAGCCAGAGACGGATGAGCAGAGGTAGGTGAGCACTTCCCCCTGCCGTGCGTGTAAATAAGTTAACTTCACGGGTGTAGTGGGTCACGGCGGGACGGGAGAGATGCTGAGTGTCATGCCTGTCTCTCCAGGGAATACACCATTGACCTGGAGGAGGGCTCGCAGCACCTGATCCGGTACCGGACCATTGCCCCGCTGGTGGCCTCAGGAGCGGTGCAGCTCATCTGAGGGATGAGCGGTAGGTGTGGGGCTGCAGCCAGCAGGGGCCAATGGGACATAGGACTGGGCCCCAGGGGAGGGATGAGCGTAGCTACTGGCTCCCCAGGTCCCTGGCTGGTTTGACAGCCAGGCATGGACAGAGTGCAGCTGTCCTCAGAGGTGAATACAACCTTTGTAAAATAGCAGGGCGCTCTCGTTTGAAACCTGCAGTTGTGTGTTCATTCCTGTTGCAGTTTCGCACTGTTGTTTAAATGAGCTTGTTGGGTAGAAACTAACAGAATGGTGTGGCAACCAGCTGTGTAAACTCTACCTTCCCCCAGCAGCTTCGGTCTCGTCACAGGCTCAGTGCAACCGGGCGTGTTATGCAAGTGGCCAATTGCTCGGAGGTGAACTGGGGGGATATTTTTGCCCCACCTTTGCTGCACGATCCACTGAGCAAAAAAACACCACACGTAAAGATAGTTGCTGGCAGAACAAATCTTAGTTCTTGCGAAGGACCAGAGAGGACTTGGAACAACAGCTCAGAGCAAAGGGAATGTCACGGGCAAGTGAGGGAGAGAGCACCCCACCCAGTGTGGGGTGCTTAGCATCCGCTTCTTACCTGCAGTGGGAAGGCAGGGTGAGGAGTTTACCAAGTTTGTCGCCTTTGTCTTTCTGACAATACCAGCTGAGAGGTGGCCGTGAGTTTAGGAATTTAGGGTTTCTGCTTGCCTCAATTTCTCCCTTGAAGCATTGTTATGTGGGCCAAACAGCAAGCCTGTCCTGCCTCGTAAAGGCGTTGCCTTTGGGGAAGGCAGACTGCGCAAGCTTTGTTCTGCCTGTGCAGCCAGTGTCCCAGTGTGGATAGGACTGTGTCAGTACAGCACCTTCTACTGTAGCCAGAGAGGAGCTGTGCTGCTTTGTCCTGGCATTTTGGCAATAACAGTGCTATCCTTGTAAAATATCCACCCTCGCCATTACAGGTATCTGAGATTTGCCTGCAGGGTAGGTGTGAATTTGGAATTGCTACCTGGACCTTGTGCTGATAATGGCATTTTTTGCCCTGGGCCAAGGAGCGAGTGCCACCAGGAGCCACAGGCAGCTGTGTTTTCTCTGATCAGATTGCGATCGACGCAATCGTGATCAAAGCTTTGGAAATGTCAGACAGAATTTGCAGGTTTATCGCCAGCCTCTTCTTAACCAGAGCAACTCGTTCATGCCCAGGGTGTTTGTGCCAGAGCCGTGGGGTCTTTGTATTGCCCATGTAAAATTTGTGTTCCTGTGGCTCTGCTACATGCACGGACCGCGTAAAGCCAACACCAGAGCAGGCCCTGCCTGGAAGGTTTTACGTGCTGCTGTTTCATCTCTTGAAATTCTGCTTGTAGGTCAAGTCCAGCAAGAGGCATGAGAGGCCTTGTTGCTTTTCCGGCCTTTTCCAACCTGCTGCTTTGGACTGTCTGACTTCAGGGAGATTGCACCACTGTTACAGCTAATCCTCAGGCTCAAGCCTGCCTTGGTCAGTGAACTACAGAGCGAGTAGGGCCCTTGTACGGGATGGTCTGCATGATCAGCAGCTGAGCACTATGGAAGAGCTCTGAGGGATTTTGTAAGCCTGTGGGGGCTTATGGTGCCTTCGTGTTGTTTAGAAAGATACTGGCAGAGCTGTCCCAGAACAGTCTCTTGCTGCAGCACAAGGAGTCGGTTTTGTGTCGCCTTCTGTGCTTTGTGTGTTATTTGTGCTGCTTCCCATCGGGCCAGCACACTGTATTTGATTTCTGTAGCAGAGCATTCAGCATCTTGTGCAGGAAGAGTTGGATCAATAAAACAAATGCAAAGTAATGAATCAGAGTGTGTTTTCTGGAAAGCTTCAGTGTGCAGCTGCTTGGATGCCTTGTTTAAGAGCAGTGGTGGCCATTTTCACTAAAATGGAACTGTAATCATGGGCTCAGGAGAAAGAAGCTTCCTGCTCTGAGTGATCTGAAGACCCTCTCTCCACAGAGTAAGGGGTTCTGGTGCAGCTGTGAGTGTAGAAACTACTCAAGTCCCCTCTGCTGAGGCAAGAGGGACAAGTAATTCTTTTCTGCTCGTCACGCAGAGGAAAAGCTCCTCTGGCCCTGCTGACCCGTGCCTGCCTCTTCCTGTTGGAGGAGAAACCAGGGTATCCCAGATCCCTCCGCTCTGTGCCTGTCGGGTGTGCCAATGGTCAGCGGCTCGTGTTCCTTCGGTCAGGGTCTCCCCTGCCTGGTGGTCTGTGAGGAACAGCCTGGCGCTCCTCTGACACTTCCCCTCCTCTGCCAAGCGGGGAGTGACACGGGGCATCTTGTAGTGTGAGTGGCTTTGCGTGTGTGGTTTATAGTGTTCCTAATAAATCCATTTAGGTAAAGAAGATTCTTTTAAGTATAGGTGTTAAGAAGAGGCTGAGTTTAATCCTTAGGAATCAGTAGCACATACCTCTGTGCAGACCTTCAGGAAGGGCTGTGGATTGTGCCCTGCCTGTATCTACAGCCCAGGCATCTTCACAGAGGTGACTGAAGCTTCCAGCCAAAGTCGTTGTTAATCCGCTGCTGCAGAAACGTGCCATAGGAGAGCTGCTTGAATAATGTCTAGGTGGCATGTCTGGAAGACTTTCTCCTTGGCTATATTACGTTTGAGCAGTTGTCCAGTACTTGCCTCGCTGCTGCATCTCACGTGGCTGCAGCAGCGTAAGGGGTTCCTGTCCTCTCCTGGCAGCTGAATCTGAACTGGAACTGATTCCTTCCAGAATGCCTTCAGTACAGCTCCTCTCTGGAGTCTGATGGCTGGCACATGGCAATGTCAAACATGGGCTGTGCAGGATTTTTGAAGACGGCTCGTAGGCTGAAACCAGTCAGGCTCGTAGTGAGATTCAGTCTTGGCATACCTGAAAATGCTGCCGTCTGCTGACACTGCCTCTGTTCTGTCTGTGCTGGGGAAAGGGGTGGTGTCCACGACTTTCTTCAGGAAGTGATGCTTTTGAGTTGTGCTTTAAGATGGAGGAGAAGGCTCAGCAGTCCATCCACCTTCATCTGTGCCTCTGGAAGAGAATGTGCAGAGCAGGAGCAGCTTTTCCAGCTTCCACGGGGTCTGCTGTAAAGTTCAGACTCAAATGCATCCCCTGTTCTCTGCTCCCTCCAAGGTGGAGATGGCGTGGGTTTACTGAGTGATTAGCTCTAAACGCAAAGTGAGTGGATGGTGGAAGAGGTCACAAGGAGGGCGCTGATGATGAGCTGTGATTTCCCAGCCTGAGCCGGATCTGCTCTCCTGAGTGCCAGAGAAAGGTGGGGCAAGTGGTTTCCTTGCTAGGAAGGCTTTCGTGTCTGTGTCAGCTCCCCCAAGTCATTGAAATGGGGGGAAGTGCCCTGTCAGCCCGAGAGGATGCGATGAAAGGAGGTTTCTCTGAAAGCAGCTGTTGAAGCTGGATTCATTGCCCACATTGTACCTGCTGGAGGGCGTCTGTGCTTGTAACCATGTGGAGTGGTCTAGTCTGCCTCCCATCACAGCAGCGCACGGGGAGCTCTCTTGGGCCCCAGTTGTGTGTGGAATGTGGATAAAAGCAGGCGGCTTGGGAAACCGTGAGCAAGAGCCCTTAATTCAGAGAAAAGGTGGGGCAGTTTGCTGTCCTGACCTTGGGGATCGCAGAATTCTAGAATGTCAGCGGTTGGAAGGGACCTCTGGAGATCATCTAGTCCAACCCCCTGCCAGAGCAGGTTCACCTGGAGCAGGTTGTACAGGGTGGTGTCCAGCTGGGTTTTGAACGTCTCCAGACTCCACCCCATCTCTGGGCAGCCTGTTTGAGTGCTCTGCCACTCTGAAAGTAAAGAAGTTCCTCCTCATGCTTAGGGAAATGTCACCTGAGTTTGTAACTTGGGCAGCTGCAGCCGCAGTTAAACCTCAGAGGGGTGAGCGTGCTGCAGCTGATCCTCCAGCTGACCCGTGAGGAGGGATTTGGTGCTGCCGGTCTCTGAGGCTGGCCACAGAAACGGGGAGCACTGCTCAGTCCTGAGCATGGTCACCTGCCAGGGCTGCCCCTCGGTGGCGTACTGGCCACAGGAGGTCTGGCCTGGGCCCACCAGGCGGATCTGCTCCAAGGCTGGCACCCAGCGGTGCCGGCAGCAGACACCTCCAGCTGCCCTGGGCCCAGCCAGACAAGCACATCTGGCTCCTGGCTGCCCACAGATCCCTGGTCCACTCCTCCCTAGGCAGGGGTGTCTGGCCAGCAGTGACGGCCGTGCCACACGTCCTAGGGGGTTATGCCATTTTGGCTTTTTTTTTTCCTGATGTTTCTGCTGATTGTTGCTGAGGCTGAATCTCAGGTTTTTGCTAGTCAGGCACTGGGTTCAGGCTCTGTTCTGGCCGTCCTGCGAGAGGTGTCTTGCCTTGTGCTGGAGACGTTTGGGCATGGTGGCGATGGAAAGCCATGTATAACTACTGATAGGCAGGGTGTGTCATGAAATGAT